CATACCATATTAGCACAGAGATATAATTGTCAATTCAAATCCTATAGTAGTAGAGGTAGTATAAGTATTAGAAGTAATCGGAGAGATTAGGGTTCGAATATGTTAGCTCAAGAAGTGTAATTCAGTGAGGTAAATTTAGTAAGGGAAAGATATAGGTGATGAGGAACTCAAAAGGTTAAAATTTCATAGAACACAAAGAGTAAATGCACCTGCACCATTGCAAACGGTTTTGAGCCATGTCACTCAGGGTCTCTAACCATCGATTACTAACATCTTGCGGACCCCAACCAGGTAGTCGACACCTACCGACATGGTTGAGTCCACTTGTTAGTGATTTCATGGCATAATAAAGGAACAAGAAGTGACTGTTTTTGTTGGTTGTTTTACACGAAATGTCTATCAGAATGAAATTATTTTATATCATGCCATTCGGCGTTAAGGTAAATAAAAAAACTGATTGTAATCAATAGGAATCTACAATAGTATACACTGTCCAAAAGGTGTCTATCAAAGAAGTCAACCTGTATAAAACAAAATGTTCCATAAATCAATCAGTAATCATATACAGTAACACAATGTATTAGCCCGATTTGTATAATTTTTTAAAATATAATGCATTGATCTTACTTTCTATCACATTGAAAATAATCAAAATTTTAAAATCTTTCACTTAGATATCTCAATCAGTTGAATATTTATTATGAATGTTGGTATAAAGCATATTGAGTTAAATTAAAACCCCACCTATATATTTTTGTTTGTACACAAGGTAATGGGAATATACACACATATATATATTGACAAAACGTCTAGTGATAAGATGAAACATTTTTTCCCATATAATGATAAATCGTGTAATGAGAATATAGAAAACAAAACAAACAAAAACAATTTCAACACATTTGATAACTATCACCAAATCTCTCTCTCTAGGTTATTATTATCATTTTGTTTCTCCATCACTTAATGTAACAGCACAACTCTATAGATATAGATAAATAATCTATATATCTACTATTACTACCATAGTAACAATATCGTTTATTATAATAGTGATTATTTAATTTATTTTCAATAAAATATTCTATTGTTTCCACCCGTTCCTTTATATATATATATATATATATATATTGTTCAATGAATAAGTATCACAAAATTTCAAAAAAAATGAAGTATACAATAAATGTTGAGTGATATTTTTAATTTGTACTACTAATACAACTACTACTACTATTACTACTTTCACTACAATTCCAAGAAAAAGGAAGGGAAAAAAAATGAAAAGTGATAGATAGACTAGGCATGAAGAAGATAGATGTTACAGCTCAAAGGAAATAAATATTATATCAGGTGAATATTGAAATCCCACATCATTTTTTCCCCATTGATAAATATTTAAAACAGAAAAAGTACAACAAACTGAGTAGAATAATATGAAATTATTTTATTTCATGATTTTGCATCACAGCTGTATACCACTTAAACATTGATCACATTAAGAATTAATAGTGTACATACTTTATATGGTAAATATTCTCATCTATAAGTATGAAATAATTATAAAAGATGTTCAAATGATAAAATATTTATATGATAAAATAATATGAGTAGGTTGGACGAAAGCTACGGGCGGCCAAACCAAAACATGGCATAAATCTATGAAGTCATTGACAAGTGGACTGAGTCATGTCTGTAAATATCGACTTCTTGGTTGGGGTCCGCGAGATGATAATATTCGATGGTTAGAGACCCTGAGTGACATGGCTCAAAACTGTTTGCAATGATGCAGGTGCATTTACTCTTTGTGTTCTATGAAATTTTAACCTTTTGAATTCCTCATCACCTCTATCTTTCTCTTTCTACATTTACCTAACTGAATTATACTTCTTGAGCTTACATCTTCGAATCCTAATTTCTTCGGTTACTTCTAATACTTTTACTACCTCTACTACTATGGTATTTGAATTGACAATTATATCTCTGTGCTAATATGGTATGGCAACTTGAACTGTTGTATTTACGTGCAAAGTTCTACGTTGCTGTTGGTGATGATGAAAACTCTATATAAAAGACTGATTGATATTCCGAATTGCGTCATGTTAGTAACAATAAGAAAGGATTTGATTATTAGATAAAAACGATTGAAGTTTAGTTAAAACTCAAGAAATTAAGAAAAGAAAGAAATTAGCAGACAAAAACTGGTTCGGAGATGTTGGTCCATAAATGATTTTGAACTATTACGAAATGTGAACGTTATATTCACATGTCCACTATGAAATTAACAACAAGCAATCGAACTTATGAAGGCATGTTAACCTTTTAGTCTTATTGATGCGAATATTAACTCTCCTTTTTATTCGCCTAGTTTGTACGTTTTCTTTTTTTCACAGTATCTTGAATTTAATCTAAGCTTTAACCATTTCTTCATTGAAATTATGGATCAATCAATGTTAGACCACCATCTTTAGAAACCTGGAAGCACTAGACAACCGTTTCATCCTAGTATAGGATTCATCACCAGTTCTTGATCTAATGATCATCAAATGAATTCATGTTATTTTACCAAATTTTTGTAGTGTAATACAATTTGCAATGACTTGAATGAATGTGTGACAAAACAGACTCAGTAAATAAGTGGATAATTTATGTGATGGGCGTTTGAGAGGCTTACAGGGAAAATCGACTGGGGAATGCAGATACATCCAGCTGACAAGTTCTAAATAGGAAATGTGTACCTATGATTCCACTACTGGTCACATTTCATCTATTCTATTTCTTCAAATGTAGTGATTTTACAGATATTTTTTAATACAATTAAGAAGTAATAATATTGTGAATGAAAATGACATTAATTTGATAATCATTTATAACCAGCTTCTCTGAATGCTATGGTGAAAATGAATCATTTAAAATATGCTCAATTATCAGTTTCTACTGGTTAGAAATTTTATGCCTTATGATGAGAAGCGATCTATATTTCAGAATCAACCAAGTAAGAACTAAGACTGTATTGTATCGTTAACATTGAGTGAGAAACATAATGTCACAAATTTCCATTGTTTGAAAGATGATCTTGTGTGTGGGTGAATGTATATTTGCTAGAAGAATGAAACAGTTATCACATTTGCATTAGTAATGAAATGGTAAAATATACATTTTTAAAGACTCGATAGTCAGATTTATCATTCAAATGCATAATCTATATCATTGCTTGTATTACCTAATACATAATAAATTCATTTAAAATTAATGAGAAAAATGTAAATAAATTATCAGAGTATTCACAACCAACCATTCAGCCAACCAAGAGAACACTTAAATTATTATCCATAAATAATATTATTAGAAAATTGATAGTGAATGAGTTTGAAAAATAACCAAATAAAAAACAGAATAATAAATTTCTAAAATTAGACATGATTGAATAAGAAGTACACCGTGTGACTTTTATGGTTTTCTTAAGGTCATGTGTAGGTGTAGGTAGGAAACGAACAACTCTAGCATATAGAAATTTTACAAAATAGGCTCATAAACAAATATTAGTTTAACAAAATATGCAATAATAAACAGGATATAAAACAAAA